AATGACAAATTAGCTTCAGTGAGAAAATCAAGTACATATGCAATGGGATGCACACATCACAAGTCAGTACCAATACAGGAAAATACAGAAGTAGCATTACCTACAAGACAGAAGAAAAGAAAATCTGTTGCATGGTATTACAGAAAAAAATCCTTAAATTACAAGTCAAACTTTGACTTCTTGGATAGTTGGCTACAGGAGCTACTTAAATGTTTCCTTGTACTTTAAACAACATAATTTTTCAAAGATATTAAAGGAAAGACTAAGACATTCCTGAATTTTTTCTTGTCTCAATCACATCCACTTTTTCCCCCACATTTTCATAAACTGAACAGTGATAATTGAATCCAATGACTATGGATTTATGTACTGCCCCCTGTAGTTTTTTTGTAAATTTTGTTACATACAGGGGATTCCACAGCTGTTCAACCACGAAGGAGTCCAGTAAGCCCTAGTGACTGCAGCTGATTTCCCCATTCCTTGATTTTGTGATAAAATGTGTTTTTTTTTTCTAATACTATTAATATTGATATTGTTATTATTCTTAGTGACATTATAATTATTAAATTCATAAAATATTAAAGACAATAAAATAATACAAATGAAGTTTTCCAAAAATCAAGGAAAAGGGTAAACAGGTGGACAGGTAGGACTAATAATGAACTCCTTGGTGATTAAACACTTGTAGAGCCAACTATGTATAAAGATAACAGATGAACTTATATTACAGTGGGCATGGCATGTATTCTAGTCATCTGTGCCAACTGGATTAAACTGCACTTTGCTGAGTTTCTCAGCTGAAAGATAAACTAAAACTGAGTATTTACTAATGTGATTTTAACATTTAACATTTTCAAGAAGACAGCCTTTGAACTTAAAATGTACTATTAGTCTTCAAATATCACACTTATTTTTTAAATCCAAACTATCATTTGGCTTATTATAATGATGCTAATGTGATTTAGGCTGCTCTATAAAGTATTTTTTTTTTTTTTAGTTTATTGTTTACACTATACTCCAGCCTCCCACTCAAAGAAGACCACTTACTATTCCCAATCTTTTACTCTCACAGAGAGCAACTACTAGCCCCTAAACTTATGGCTTTCCCAGAGGATAACTTCACACTCTTAGAGCACAGAAAGCTCTTCTTCTGGTGTCTCCACTGGAAAGACCCACTTTTATCTACTTCAACACAAGGAAAGAATTTCATGATATCCATTGACAAAATCTTGGGTTTACCTGGAAAAGGCCAAGGTGGGGGGGGGGGGAGTCCATTAAGCCATAGTTTAAAAGGCTTCTGTTCCTGAGCCACTTCTGGGTGCTAAGTTTCCAATATTGTTTTCATTTCGAAGATAATTGCCAGGCTAGTCCACATTCTGGATACTTTCAAAATACAAAACCCCTGAAAATAAAAGCCTATCCCTGTTTTTCTTGTCTTTTTTATGGGAGGAGGTTAACTGGTTTAACTTAAAAAAAAAAAAAAAAAAAAAAAAAAAAAAATCTACCAAAACAATTGAGTCTAAAGAACATAAAATACCTTAACACTTACATTAACACTTTTTTTTTTTTTTTGTTAATATACATTTGTGTGCTTTAGCCTCTTTTTTTTCTGTTTTACCATAACCACTGCCCTGTAAAAATATATCCATATTCATTACAAAGACCAACTTTTACAACATATTTATACATTTGGTCATACCCAATAAATTAGCTGCTTTGAATTACCATGAACTGTTTTGGCCAAAAAAACAGCATATGGCTAGGTTCCTGTTCTCACATTAATATGCCAGGCCTGGATGATGATAATCCCCGCCTGTTTACAGAGTCTAATACAATTTATGAAACTGAACCTTCTATTATGATGCTTTAGGATGCACTAAGGAGCTGCCACCTTAATCTGAAGAAAGAGGTAGCAGGTTACTCTCCCAGGCACTCTGACATACAATTTTTTTCTTCTTTTTTTATTGACAGTACAACAAACAATAAGGTGATCTTTTTTTATTTTCTTACTTCAGTTAGTGTAACTTTTAAAAAATAGGTCCTTATAAAACCATGAAGCTCATAACCATGGCCACTGGACACCAAACTTGCAAAATGAGTAAGTTTTCCCTCTCTACATCACAAAAGACACTGCAACCGCACAGGACAGCTGTACATAGCAACCTATTAACACTATAAGTAAATCATCACAAAGTAACTTGAAAGTCACACAAATTCTTCCATTGACTTAAGTCATTTCATAAGTAGGAAAATTCTACCAGACAAAAAAATTATTTCTGCCCCCACAGTTCAATTAGAAAGACATATCACATTCATTAATATCAATTCACTGAACATAACGTTACACACAAACTTAAAGAAAATGGATTCTACTTGTTCTGCCTACTGTTCATCTTATGGCAAATAAGAGTTTGGTGAACAATACACTTCTTTTTTTCAATGCATAAACTGCCATGGTTGTAGTTGCATCAAAAACATAGTCATTGTAGAAAGAATGTAATTTCCTTAATATCTCACAATTATCAAGTATATGCAAGCATACAGAAGGATTGCCTAAAATGTAATGAGAACCAGTGCAGTTTTTTTTCTAACATCTAATCCAAAAAATAAGAAAGAGTTAAAGAAAGCCTAGCAAGAGATCATGAAAAAAAAACACTAGAATCCCATTAGCAACAGCTCCTAGAACCACTGAAGCTACAGCGCCAGCCAAGCAAAATGTATGGAGATTACCTAGAGCCTGGAATGAAAAAAGAACTTTTGGTTCTGTTCAAGTACCTTTCCAAAGAATTATGTTCCATCTACTCCTGAAAACCATCATCAGTTTTGCGGCAGGCTTCTACTGGCAAACTAAAGAAAAAAATTCAATACATCAGTGTCAAATCTTGGGAAAACAATTTCCTAGGTTTGCTCACAGTTGTCTCACCATACACCAAACTAAACTAACATCTTACAAGAGAAAACATATGCCTTTGTACTCAATATGTGGTTGAAGCAATACAGCAGTTCAAGTCACTTTAAGCTACAGATCATAACAAAAAATGATAGCAGTGATGCACGACTAAAAACAACCCTATTCATTTAAAAGACCATCAGTGCAACATCACAGACACAGGTACCTACACTGAGGATAATGATTACATAATACAGGGATGGATATGACGAATACACATAAGGGATTTGACTCTTTGCAAAACATCCTGCATGCCTTGGCAGGAAACAATTTGGGCATTATGGACCAAAGCACAAGTTCACAGATTTATTCAACATATTTTAAAACAGCAAATCAATTTTAAAAAGGAACCCCTATACTCAAATAAGATACTTATACTGAATCAAACATAAGTCAAAATATCATTGCTGAAATCTGACACACTTGAAATACTCTGCTACCTCCAATCTACAAAAAACATAAATAGGTAAAGGCTTTCCTTACAATACACAATCAAACTAATCATGCCTTTGCAATGGGCACCAACACAAAGTGGTTTGTAACATATACAAAAATATAGCCAGTGATGCAAAGGCATAAATATTTGCATACATCTACTATAGATACATTTGCAGAATAAAACAATAAAAAATATATATATATATACACAGCACAAAATGAAGCATACACACATCCAAAATCACATCCAAAATCCCTAAAACACACATTGCATAAACACCTGTGGCAGCTGACAAGAAAAAGACAAACTATACAGCTTAATGCAGAAGCACATGTGAGATATGGTGATCTAGAACATATTCTTCAGGAAACACCCACTATCCATAGCTGTGAGTTGAAGATAAACAACATGACAGCATAAATACTGCCATTTTGAGTCAGAACTAGAACAGACCAGAAAACAAAGTCATTTGATTCTGGCTGCAGCTACAAGCAACTATTAGACTATTAGAATGGGCAAAAGAAAACATACAAACAGGAAGAAAAGTTAAAAAACA